CTCGTGGACTCGTAAGTACCCCCCTCCCCCCTCCACCACTGTTTAGTTCAGCTTGAGCCCAGATGAAAAATACTTGTTGTACAAGGCGCATTTAAATTAAACATTTTGTTTACACTTTTGAAAGTTTCCACGCCGCAAACAGACCTTGACTCAACAATAACCCGGGGAACGCTTTGAGCAATTGAATAGGATTTTGTTTTCTTGTGTTCTTTTTTTCTCATTTCATGCATCCCTGACTCTCCGTTGTAGCTAACTTAGATGGTACCTCGCGAAACTTACAGCTTATCTCAATAGTAAAAATTGCTTGTTAATTTAAAACAAAATATAAATACATCTATGGCTGAAGTGCAAAATCATTGCAATGTTTCAAAATGCCCGCTCCTACTTAATTTTTTCGAAGAGAAACAAGCCAACCTCATTACTTAACTATACAGAATATTCTGCTGACAGAGGAAAAATCAAGAAAGCGTTCAAAAGATTAGGTTGAATAGTTTTTCAAAGAAAAAATTAAATAAGACAGGAAGTCTGCAACGTCGCAAACGGAGATACGTGGTTTCGCACTATCATATATTTTGTAATTTTCAAGAAATCCCAGCTCTTAAGAATTTCGTCGATATAAATGATCCAATGAATGTCAACGAAAGGAAATAGGTTTCCATTTAACTTCAGATTCGGTACATATTTCGGTCTTAGTTCACCTGTTAACACGATAAATAGTTTGCATATAGGTCCTGCATCTGGAAATATAGTAGTCTTTGGCGGAATAAGTATTCACAATGACAGATATCACACTTTACAGTAATCTCGAATTTATCGTCCTCAAAAATGAAATACTTCTCTTTAAAAAAAATAGCAATTTCATAAACATGCAAGACTTAAAGTGAGGTTAAAATGTGGGATGACAAATAAGTTCCGGTTAAATTAACTGCATTTTTGTCGTAATGTAGTTTTCATCATTTCATAGTTTTGCGCAGAATAATTAGATTCGCTTTATTCAAAGTAAATTTAGCAAGGATTGCTAGCTCATTGTGATTCTAATGCGATTTAAAGAACGAAAAATATTCCTCTTTTTGTCTTAGCTGCTGTCTGCAACAAGTCCCATCCATAATTTATTCTTCGGTATTTCATTTCCCATTCACCGATCGCAACTGCACGACAAAGATCCATTTATGAGGTAGTTTGATTGTCTTTTACCGAGAGAGCGTTACTCTTAAAGATACTCTTTTTTCCTCTTTCGTTGTAAAGGTCCCCTTTAAACCGCCTTTAACTATAATGCAGGTATAAAGATAGGAATAACGAAAATAGGTACGTGTACATTGTTAAAAATAAGCTTTTGCTTGGAAAATGAGACGCGTAAGACCAAGCCCCAGCTCCGCGGATAAGATCGGCGGAACTCTATTCCCTCGTGAGCCTTGGAAATCACGAAGTTTTACGAGCCACAAGGGTCATCTCGAGTGCAGTTGCGCCCTTTCTTCAGCGGGACGAGGAAGTGGTCGGCTAAATAAAATCCGGGAGGAGAAAATCCTAATAGTGCGGAGCGTAAAATTAATTACAGCGTGCAAGTTTATCGCGGGCTGCGGATAAAAGTTTTAGAGGATAAGGTCTAATTAAAGTCTTGCTTCATTCATCCCCGGATTTCGCGTTAAAAAACTACGGAGGCTCCCGAGGTTTATCATTTATTTAACTCGGCGAAAAAAAAAGGGGAGCGGGGCCCGGGCGAAGTTACGGTTTTAGTGGAGAAAAAACTGACCTACATGATTCTCATTTACTTCGGACTGTGCTTGTGAGCCGCGCTTTGTCACACATCGGATACGATTACATTCACGCGAACACGGATTTAAATCTAATGTGATGTAATTACTTTTTTGAGGAGAAATTACTCGGAATTACAATAATCATGGTATACGCAAACTAGAATCGGTAAAGTGTCCTTTGTAGGCCTTCGGGCAAGGCTCTATCTACTCTTTATCCACCTTGTAAATAACTCAGTAAACTAAGCATTGGTTTAAAAAAAAAATGTTTATAGTATATTTGAGATCTCAAATACAAGGCGGATTCAGTCACTTCGAAAGGGGCAAGGGGGCGGACACGAATAATGGCCAAATAGCATTTTTCCTTAGTCTTCCCTCCCTTTCTCTTCCTCCTTTTTTCGGGCGAACGGGAGGGGGGGGGGAGTGCCCCTGTCATATTATATTCGTAGGCCAGATAGTTTCCTGCGTATTTTTTTTAACACACGATCGAATTATTCGGTCTGCTCAACCAAACTGTTCAGTCCGCCGAACCGAACTGTAAGAATTTGTAATAGTTCAACTAACCGAACGGTTACAGGATATTTCAACACCAATTTTTTGTCCGTGCGTCTGTTTTTTCTAGTAGTTTATGTCCGCGCGTTTTTCCAGCAGAGGAGTTTTGGTCCACCTACTAATTGAGAACCAAAGTGAATTGGTCCACTAATAAATATTCACATCACTTACATCAAGCAAAAGCCCGCTTTCATACAACTATTTCATTCTTGTTTCAAAATAAAATCTTCTTAATGGCATACTCAAGAATGTTACTGCCTAAATTGAGTCATGTTTTTCTCTAATGAAATTCAAAAATTATGCTAAACGTTATTAAATACGGATACTAGAACTTGGTGAGTTTTTGGACTATCTTCTTGTACCGTAATATCTTAATTTACTTTGCAAAAATCATAAAGGATGCCTGTCATTCTTAATACGTTGGACCGCCTTCAATTTCGTATGATACTGTGCAACACTTCTGTTGTGAAATAGTTGCTTGAGGCGCCGTGGTACGCTGTGGCACGGCGCGGCGCGGCGGGCGGGCGGCCAACGCCTACAAACCTAAGTGAATACTTCAAGCATTGCGCAATGCGTGAAGTATCCCCTTAGGTTTGTAGGGACCTGTGCGCGTTACGCGCTGGTAGCACGCCACTTCTGTTTGGTTCTAATATTTAAACTCGTGGAGTCAGCATTTTTCAGCTCATGATTTTGAAATGTTTGCACACCGTGCATGGATTAATCTAATTTAATTTGATGGGAAAAAAACATGTAATAGAGGAAAACATAATTTGTTTTGTAACTATTAGGGTGGTTCCGTGTCAAATTTAACAATTTCAAAAATACTTAAATATTTCCTTTTATATTTTGTGCTGTTGCTGTGCTGCAGCATGGTGTATGCGCGACCAAATGCTCAAAATTAGACAAACTTGACTCTAAAAGATCGATGTACAAATGGGCTAAAACCAAAGATTGCGTGTTTCTTGGTTTATTTTCCTGTTTTATTCATTTTTGTATAGTTTCTTTCAACACAACTACAGCTCATTGGGATTGATATCGATAACATTATCGCACACTACACCCTTAATGTACATCGTGGGCTGGACTCTTGAGTTGTGAATTTATTGATGAGAAAAATATTCAACAGGTTTTGACAATGCGGCCTGCAGCTTATTTAAAATTTTAATTTTTATGTATTCAAATCGCAAGAATAATAATGAGGTTTGACAAAAACGTCGACTCGGGTATCGAATAAACTTTTATATTGACACGGCAAAGTTCAACACGGTTAAAAACTCGAGAATGTAAAACCGCGTTGTTCGAGAAGAAAAATTTCCGAGACCTGCCGGCTAGAAACTTTCATCCGGGGCGAGTAAATATATTCACTAGGCGTGAGTATCGTTCGCTGACTTTCAGAATTGTTCGGAAAGTTAGTGGTGAAATTTTGGTCTCGTTCAAAGCTGATGGTATCATGCCTCGGCGAAACCGGTAAGACAAGCTCTTCGTGCAACGTGGAAACTTGTGTCGACTATTCTTATGACCCATTTTGTTCTTCAGAAAAGAGAAAAAAGCGTGGTTCCATTTTGGAACGCTCAAAAGTGCGGACTTAAGATTTAATAGTATGGATCAATCCGTCGCCTACCAGACATAAGGGCGTAACTACACTCTGCAATGAACCCTGCTTTTCATACAATTCAATGCTTTTCCGGGTTCATCTCAATGTGTAGTTACGCCCTTATGTCAGCCAAGCGATGAATCAACCAATCCGTCTTATAATAACTGGAAGTAACATTAGAACACAAATATTTTTCTCGGTGTACTGGACCCTTTTCACGAGTGGCGTGGCAAGCTTTGCGATAGATCGATTGATCTGCCATTTAAATATGTGGGAAGAGATCGATATCAGAGTGTTCGCAATGAGCACATTAACAATCGATTCTTCACCAAATGGAGGAATATCGATAATCAATCATTCACGTTTCGCCACTGCTTTCCACAATAATTTTCTAGGATGGTCTGACGTTGGATCAATAAGCTGATTTTTCTACAGTACGCCTCTGAGCACTATTGCCGAGCTAAGAAAAAACACCGTATGAACATTTGAGGGTTGCCAAATTTCCTCCAAATAAACGTCAATTTTTTTAGGAAAGTTACAAGTTAATTTTCTCTTGAAATTTTCAGATAAATTTAGATCTGATCGCGAATAAAATTCTCTGAAAATTATTCACAGATTTCTCTGACAAAACATATTTTATCAAAGGAAATTTGGCAACGCCTGAAAGCTCATACGGCGTCCTTTCCTAGGCAGACTCCTTACTCATTCTAACTAAAAGGCATATCTCAAAAGAATTCCACTAATCAAACTTGCAGGAGCCCGTTTTGCCAACCCTCCCAATTGAAGGCGATTTCAAGAATGTAAACTTTAAACGGACTTACCATCACCAATTTGTTTCTCTCTCATCTCATCTCAGCTCACACGTCTTAAAAGAAGCAGGCCACTAATCGAACACAGATTTCTCTGACAAAACATATTTTATCAAAGGAAATTTGGCAACGCCTGAAAGCACATACGGCGTTCTTTCTTAGGTACACTCCTTACTCGTTCTAACTGAAAGGCATATCTCAAAAGAATTCAACTAATCGAACTTGCAGGAGCCCGCTTTGCCTACCCTCCCAATTGAAGGTGATTTTAAAAATGTAAACTTTAAGCGAACTTACCATCATCAATTTTTCGTACTCCTCCTCGATGACGGAGCCATTGAAATAGGGGTCGGCGGCCTTCGTGTCCGGGAAGTAGAAGCGCTTCTTGCAAACGCATTTGTAACTCCCCCGGCGGAAGCCCAGCCCAGGCACTGAAACACACTGAAACGAGAAAAACACTCCGTTAAACGTGCAAATTGGGAATGCCTCATTTTGCTTCGCAACTTTCAGCGATCGTCTGAGAAAAATCTACTTGTTTGAGCTGCAATTAAGTGCCGTGAAGTGAAGCATGCACCAGGGGCGGACGGAGAGAGGACTATTAGACAACAGACTTAATTAACTTGACTTAAGAATAATTAAGCCGAGACTCCCCGGTGTTAGGAGAGCTCTGAGAAAAATCTCCTAGCCGTCCGTCCTGCTGAAGAGATTTCTAGGAAAGTCAACCGGTCGAGCGTGTTTGAAATTTATTGAGTCAAGCGGATGTCGAGTCCTTGAAAGATGTAAATTGAGGATTCTCGTTTCTAGGAAGAGAATTAGTTCCAAAGGACGACGGACCGGTCTTATGGGAAAAGTGGGCCCGGTTAAATCGGCTGGCGTTTTGATATGTTGTAGGTCTTAACCTACTGATCAAAAGTGTCAATGGGCATTTCTCCCTATCTCGAAGTTTTACCCCCCATTTTGGGGGTCAAAGTTGCCAATTCGGCGTATAATTGGCAGTTTTGACACCCGGG